ATTTAGTGAACTTTCTTATTGGGAAGTTTCCCGATTTGGCAAGTCCTAAATTAGGGTTTCCAATTTCAGAAATTGGTAAATTGCAAAGTGGTACTCGTATCGACGAGAATTTGTGCTCGTTGTCAAAATATAATTGTTATATTTTTGCGAGCACTCATTTGTTAGAAACGAGCCGAAAAAGAGAGTGGACTTAAGCTGTTGGGTCTAGCCCAACTTAAGGCATGTTAGGGTTTTCACAAGGAGCATATAAATAGGATTTATATGTCTTGTGAAAGACAAAAAACAAAAAAGAAAAAAAGACACAAAAAACGACATAACACAAGCTTGAAACCCTAGCATCTCTCCCTCCATCAGCCATCCACCTTGCAGCCGAAACCCTACCTCTGCCACCAGCTGCCGCGCCGCCGCCAGTCGCCGCCGCATCGGCATTTTCCTTTTCCCTTCGTTCTTCTTCGTTGTACTTAGCCTATCACGTATCTAGTGCTGCGTGGATAGTGGATTGAATATACGAGGTGAAACCTAAGAATAGGAAGATTATTATGCCGCCAACGCCGCCAACAGGGTCGTCCCCATGCGCCGCCACAAGCCGGTGATGCGAGAAGGCAATTCTGAAAAACTGCTCTCGGATTTTCTATGCAGTCCGGCGAGAAAATTCTCCATAAATAAATCGGTGATCGGATGGACGTGAAATTGTGACAGAAGCTTCACGACTCATACATCTACAATTACCCAGAAGGAATTGTCCATCGAGTAAATAACGATGGAGATATTGAAGTCGGAGCAGGGCTGTAATTTCGGATCAGCAAACAGGTTGGATCAGTAGGAGTGGGAAGAGCAGCTAGCCATCTTCTCGAGTCTTCGTTCGATTCACGCTTCAAGTGTAACATGTCGTTTTCCCTAATTAATATACATGTATTAATTAATTTATATTAATTGAAGTTAATGTATGTTAATTGATTATTTAATCACATGAATCTATATGTTCGATTATGTGTTTATGTGAATCGTTCGTTGAGCATGTTTATTATTTGTTTTAATTTCGCGAGCATGCTATGATGATTTAATTTATGTTATTCAAATTAATTATATATGCGAGCATGTTTGTCGGTGATTGGAAGCAAAAAGGTACGCAATTAATTGTAATTTATTGTGCACGTGCTTTTTATATAAATTAGTTTATATAAATAAAATAAAATATTTGTTTTCCGCTGCGTACACGTGCCTGATCCCCAACACAATTAACCAATTGCCCATTAGTAGCGAAGAAGAAGTTTATCATGAGATTAATGACTAATATCTTGTTATATCTTCAACTGCTTCATCATTATCTTCGCCTTGAATTTTAAAGAACACTCTATTTAGCTCTCCAATATTGACCGGTTGAAGACCGTTGAATCTTCTGGTAACAAATGGTATTTCTGGCCTTGCGCTTCTTGAACCTTTAGCTATTGTCATTTTGAATACTCCATCTGTCAAACCAAATATGAGTTGACATTCTCTAGTCTTGATTGTCAATATCTTTTTACCAATAACACCCCTTCTTTTCATGTTAGTATGTCGTCAAAATTCTGTGTACGACGAAGTCAGATTTTCGAATAAATACGAGTTGGATTTTATTTGCCATGATAGGTATATTGAACTGTCCAAATGGTTTTCTCCTCAAAGATATTATATGACGATTAATTAGATTCAGTTCTTTGCAAAAGTTGATCAATCGGATTATACTCGATCTGTATCGTGGGTTGTCTCTTTTCTTTTGGATGATCTTAGCCCTTGGCTCTTTTGGTTGTTCAGATGATGAAGGGGCTGGAAAAAAAGAAAATAAATAGTGTCAATTGAAAATTTTAATGTAACAAGAGGAGACTCATAGTGCCAATTTTATTGTCGAGCAAATTAGTGAATTATTTAGGCATACAAATTCCCCCAATGTATGAGAACACGAAATGAATGCAATTGTATCGTCAGTGGCATCAATATATCACAACTACACAATGAATAAAATATTACTGTCAATGGCAGAGTAATAGTATAAAATACAACATATGATGCCATTGAAAATGACGCACATTCCCCTAATGTATGAGAACACAAAACGAATGCAATTGTACTATCAGTGGGAGCAATATAACACATCTATACAATGAATAAAATATTAATGTTAGTGGTATAGTTATAGTACAAAATGCAACATACGAGGCAATTAGAAAATGATGCACAATGCCAATTTTACTGCTAATGGCATTAAATTAGTGAATTATTTAGGCATACAAATTCCCCTAATGTATGAGAACACAAAATGAATGCAATTGTACTCTCAGTGGCAACAATATAGCACAACAATGAATAAAATATTATTGTCAATGGCAAAGTAATAGTACAAAATGAAACATACGATGCTATTGAAAATGAGGCACAATGTCAATTTTACTGATAATGGAAGCAAATTAGTGGACTACTTGGCAATACAAATTCCCCTAACGTATGAGAGAATAAAAATGAATGCAATTGCATTGTCAGTGGCAACAATATAGTACAACTATACAATGAATAGAATATTACTGTTAATGGAAGAGTAATAGTACAAAATGCAACCTACGAGACAATTTGAAAATGACGCACATTGACAATTTAACTGTCAATGGTAGTAAATTAATGGATTATTTAGCAATACAAATCCGCCTAATGTATAAAAGCACACAAATGAATGCAATTGTTCTGTCAGTGGCATCAATATTGCATTAAAGTACATAAATGCAAAAGTATTCACCGAAAAGAAACATAATATTAAACATAATAGACTATAGCATGAAGAAATATAATTTTACTGTGCGAATCACCAACACTATGGCTCTGATTGGTTCATGGATTTCAAAATAAGGAAAATGAAAATGCAAAGGAAAAGGAAATCAAGGACTTTCGAAATTCTAATTGTGTTTGGTTCCTAAGAAAAATGGTGATGAAACTAATTTTAAGGAAAATCATCTTCCTTAGTTTTGTTTGGTTCTTAAGGGAAAATAATATAGAAAAATATTAAGTAAAATGATATTATTACTAAAAACTAAATTAAATTTCAAAATTATATTACTCCCTAACCCCAGACCCCCTCACCCCCTAACCCCACCCCCACCACCGACCTAACAATAAAAATAAAAATAATAATTAAATTAAAGACCACAATAAATAATAATAATAATAATAATAATAATAATAATAATAATAATAATTTTAAAGCAAAAATAAGAAAATATAAAATTAAAATAAATGAATCTCAATTTCCCACTTCACACACACACGATGGGCAATTTATAGTCGGAAGAGGAGAAATCATCTGGGCGGATGACAAGAAAAAGTTGACGGTGGCGGTGCAGCGGTGGTGGTGGGCGGAGCGAGAAATTATTTTGACGGCCTAGAGTCGGCGATGGCGATGGTGGTGGGTGGGGCGGAGAAATCATCCGGCGGAGAGGAAAACTCACATGTTCTAGGCGGCGACGGAGAGGTTGCAGGCGGTGGTTGATGGTGTTGAGGCCTTGAGGATCTGGTGGTGGTGGAGGCGGCATCGGAGAGGTTGCTGGTGGCAGCAATTGATGATGTTGATGGTCTGGTGGAGGTGGCGGAAAAGGTGGTGGTGGTGATAGTGGTGGTGGCCAGCGGGGAGGTGGCGGCGGCCAGCAGGGAGGTGGCGGCGGAGAATTCAAGAAATATAGTTTGGAAGCCATTAAACAAAAAAAATAAGAAGAGCAGTAGAGAAGAAAGGCCCGATCATTTTTTCCCTCACATTTTCCTCACTTTTTTTGAGGAAAAGGCTTTTTCCTTATTTTAGGTTATAAATTTTTTCACCTTTTTCCCCAAATTACTTTACTCAGTATTTTTCTTTGTATCCAAACAGGAAAAATGAATTCCTTAGACTTTTCACCTTTTTACATACAGTTTTCTGCAAACCAATCAGACCCTATAGAAAATGCAAAAAACAAAAATCCTAAGTTACTGTGGATGTAAAAATTGAAATTAGAAAACAACATAAAGAGTAATAATACATCATAGGAGGAGATGATCCATACTCGAAACATTTTCTTTGGTCCTTGATAATTTTTGCAGGCGATCTGGGGGTTTAAGGCAGTTAAATAGTAAATAATCAAAGAACAAACGTACAATATAATTAAATCAAAATTTCGATAGGGGTTAGAAAACAACATACTCGATATACCTCTTCGCCATTGTCTCGGCGAAAGTGCACAAATGCAAGTTTTGGAAACGGATTATATGATTATTTTTCGGCTTCAATGGCGATTTGAACAGTAAAATCGCTATAAAAACATGACGAAAACGCTGTGTGTACTGAAGTTTTGCTTGTGTTTTGAAGAAAACGGAAGAAATTTTGTGAGAATAAACGGATTTGAAGAACGTGGTTGAGCGAGAGCAGATTTACAAAGAGAAATGAATTTGATTTTTAGAGTGAGGCTGGTGGAATCTTATGGAATCAAGTATTTAAGGCAGGATATTTTGGTCAAAACACTGGTTGATGGGCTTCTATGTTAAAGAGATTTTGTTGTCATTTATTTATCGATAAGTGGGAGACTGTGGGCTTATTTGTAATAGGCCCAATGCATAAATCAGATTTTCCAAATGATTATTGTGCGTGAATGTGGTTGTATATGCATGTGTGAGTGTGTATGTGGCATGTGTTTGACACTATGTGGGTGTGTGTTCTTGTGTGTGACTGTGTATGGAAGAATTTCGGTGATGACAGTGACATAAAACGAGAGTGAAGTATATCTAAACAGTTACAACAAAAAATGAAAAGAGTGATGAAGAACAAAAACATAAATAAAGCACTTCTAGCAAATTGTCAAAATCTCAATATCCTAATTTAAAATACTATTATTATCCAAATGTGTTAGCAAATTGCCCCATTTAATAATGGAACAAAAACCTCTACCTCGTAGTATAGATATCCACAAAGGGCCTTAAGAAGGACAAAAGTAATATTTTTCCCATGAAAACATAATGTGAAAACTAACAAGGATGGATGGCAGTTGTGGTAATTAGAGTGAGAAAGTAAGGGCAAATAAGTGAAGTGGTCAACAACAGAATCAAATCAAATTATAGTGAAAACAAAATCAGGTTCGGACCTTCGCCGGACCCCCAAAAGGGGCAAAAAAACTCTCTCCCCCAAATTCCATTTCTCCACCCCCTCCACTTTAATCCCCATCCCGCTAAACCAAACGCCACACATATATACATACATATATATGTATGTATATATATATATATATACATATATAAGCGAATCTTATTCAATTCTCGGAGGTCCCCTGTTATTCCATGTTCTCTGTAAGACTCTCTCTCTCCGCCTCTTTCTGCATATTCAACTCTTATTAATAATACTCTTCAGTTTGCGTTTTAGATGTATTTGTGTGTGTGTGTGTGTGTGTGTGTGTGTGTGTGTGTGTGTGGTTCTGTTATACTGTATTTGAATTTGTATCCGGTTAATATTTCGATTTTCTTTTTTTTTTTTTGTTGAATTCAGTTCTTTTAATGTACTGTCAATCTCAATTTGATCGGTTCCGCATTCATTCATTTTACTGAAGTTGCAAAGGAATTTTTTTTTTCGTCGATTTTTTACCAGTTTTCGTTGGGTTTTAGATATTCGTGTTTTCGCTATTTAACCTCGAATTCAATTTAAACTATTCTGATTTTGAAACTGTTGAATAGGTGTTTTTGGCCACAGAGAAAGAATTGAGTGAAGTGCCCATGTTGGATTTAGAGATTCGATTAATCGGTTATTTGTGAGAGTGCGATTGTTGATAGTTGCTTAAGGCGTGATTAAGTTAAAAGGGTCTTCGGAAAACAGAGGACCCTTGATCCAATTTGGGATCCAAGCGGTGGGTCGTTAGCGTTTTCTTGGAGTTTAGTTACCCATACAATGCCAGCTGTGCAGAAGCTTTACAACGCGTGTAAAGCATCGCTTACACCTAACGGACCCATTTCCGAAGAAGGTCTAGAAAAAGTCCGCAATCTGTTAGGTATGAAGAGGAAATATCATTCTTGTCTTTCCCCTTGTTTTGCGTTTCCGATCGGTGCTCTTATTTTAATGTTTATAATGAGACAAGATATGCATTCATTGCATACGCAATATTTCTGTCACTCGTTTATTTTTACAAACTTGGATATAAGCTCCTTTCTAATTCTAACCATAATTGTTAAATATCTACGTGCATTAATATGCGTGTTCTCTGTGTTGGTTTTGTCGTTTGTTGGATAAAACATTTAATAAAATGCATTGGATTAGCATTTTAAGTCTTGGTTTCTCTTTGCTGGTTTAGTTTATGTCTTCTGAATAGACTATTTTAATTATGGCAATAAAGAATATTTTGCCTTAAGTCATTCGCGAAGGCAGTTATTCATGCATAAATCATGCACAATCAGCTATTCATTTGATTTTGGCTCTTTGTCCCTTTGCTTTACGGATATTGCTACAATTGCTTTGTGGTCATCGAGAAATGATTTATTTGCTCTTAGGTATTTTGGTTTTGCATTAGATTCGTTTTTTTATTTTTTTTGACTATGCTATGAAAAAAAAAATAAAGAAGAGAGGATAGGCTCATTACATTCATAAAAAAAAAAGCTATGAGATTTTACCCGAAGTAATTGAGCGTGAGAGCCAAATAAATCGAAAGATTCGTGTTTGGTTCGGGAAGGGATTATGGAAGTTTTAAAATGAACGGAGAGTTGAGACATATTTCGGCGATATTGTTGTGCAAGAATCTAATAGACGAACTTGTTACATAGAAGGGAACGAGACTTCAAGGACAAAAAAATAGCATACATCTTAATACATAATTATCCTGATGTTGTTGAATTAGTAAGAAAATGTCGGGGACTTACTATCTTTTTTATCAGTATTTGTGAATATTAGTTTGTGCTGGAAAATGTTAGTAATGCTACTTATTATGAAATATTAAACGACTGTCCCCTATACTAGTTAAGCTTTCTGATAATTTTGTCATTCAATGTTGTTGGTAGATTTATTCAAGTTCACATTAGATCAAGAATATAATTATAATGTGTAAACATACAATTTTAGAACTTATTGATTATTATATAGATAAAGTAATGCAATGGCCATTACATGGCTGGAGGAGATCAACCACTTAAGAAGCTTTAATTTACAATATGATTCGTATGTGAGTGTAGTTATATTCCTTCTTAATAACCTTAACTACTAGCGATCTAGTGAAATGTATGCCATTTATCTCTATTTTCCTATTTCCGTGTTAACGGCATTGGGTGTGGCTAGTGTCATTGTATGGCAGTCTCCCTTTCTTTGATTCTTTATTTATTCTCCCTAAATAAGAACTCCCGTCAGACTTAACCCAAGCTAGAAAAAGAATGTATCAAAAGGAAAAACAGAAATCTTCCTGGGGGTGGGGGTATCAAGAACAATGGGAAGCCCATATTATATTTTTTGGGATATTTCCTACACCTAAAGTGGCAGAAGCTTGCTTTGGTCTTCTATTTATTCGAGGCATGTGTCTGATTCGAGGATATCATACCTATTTTTCTGTCTTATGCTTATGGTTGCCATATTTTAATAGAAATTAGCTGTATAAAAATACCCGGGAAGCTCCACATATAGGATTCCCATAAACACACCCCACAAAAGGCGATCCTTAATAGCTTAAGGAGATTTTCCGATTAAGTCTGGTATTCCAGAATAGCTTAGGGGCGTAGCGGTAGATAATAACAAGGCCAAGTGAATCTCAATGCCTATACATACAAGGCTCACCTATATCCTTTCTGTATATGTACTTTGATGGGCCTTTCTATCATGATAAGCAGTAGGACCGAGGGTCATGCTGTTATCAAGTTGAGGAATGTTTGAGAATTTCCTCGCGATGCGTAGTTTAACTTGACGGCATGCTGTTGGACTTTATTGTGTTTAATCTGAGTTATAAATATGTTACGGACTGGTGTTTATGTATTTCTGGGGACTTGGCAGTGACTGTGTTCAGTGTCCGGTAATGTCTATTTAGTTTTTAGGTAATAGAGTTAGGATCTTGCTGAATCATCTAGCTTAAAAGCCGTAGTCGGGCTAGGTTCGGTTATTTTTTGAAGTGTTTTTCAATTTATTTGGGAGGACGAATAGAGTGATAGTAGTGTATGTTTGTATTCTGGGAGGAGGCAAACTTTACTCTAGCGGTCAAATTAAATAGGGTTGTTCGGATAAGTCGACAAGTGTTATCACATTGATATTTTAATGTTAATATTAAATATTTGAATGTAAAAAAAATTGCTATATCATTAATAATGTAATGATTTGTTATATATCGAACCCCCCATTTTTGGAGATGATTGAATTTGGTTTGCAAGAATGAAAACAAATATGGTCCGAGGTAGAATGAAAATATTCTCCCGGGAGAGTAGACAAACACAGCTGTTGGTCTTATAATCTATTTGTTGTTCTTCTAATACCTTGCAGACCTGTAGTTTTGTCTTTTCTCCTAGAGCATTCTCGTCACCTTCCTTGTTTCTGCTTTGTTCGTTGTTAATAATGTCATTTGAACAACCGAGAAGAAAATGAAAGATGCTAATCAATCATGCTAATATTTTCTTAACAAAAAAGAATATGAAAGAGGAAAGGTGTATTTCCATTCTGGTCCCTAACTTCAGAACAGTAGGTGGTACATCTTCCAAGGTTTTTCGTTTCTCTATGTAAATGAGTGCTTAGTATCTGGTTGAATTTCTTTCCTGGGTAAAAATATGGCAATTTATGCTTCGGTTTTGGCTATAGAGGTGATATTATCTACTAAATTTGTAACATATATGTGTAGTGATGCATGCATCGACATCGTTTTCGCAAATCTTTTTTTGGTACACTTCAACAAATTAGTCAAGTCTTTAGAGAGGGTAGCATCTATTTATTGTGTCTTTCCTTAGGTTTCATATTATGTATTAACTTCTTATACAAAAATCAAATAAAAACTAAATGTCTAATTTCTTATTTCTTTTTTTTTTTTTTTTTTGTGCAAATTGTGCTTTTACGATAAGTTAGCATCTTTTGAACGCTAATTTTATAATACTTCGGCTTGCCTTTATATCTAATGATTATGCTTCGAAATTTATATTACATGGCAAGGTGGACTGTCACTATGTTTCGCCTCTTGTAAGTATGTGAAGGCCTAAGAGACTGTAATTCAGTGTAGTCATATGGTGCTGCTCTATTTTTTAAAAATGTTTTGATTTTCTTCTCGGTTAAAATCTGCCTTTCAGCTGTTCGAGCTAATCGTGTTATCAAGTGATGAGATGAAGTTACGGTCTGTTGGTTTCTACTTGGTTTCTACTGATTTAGAAATGAACAAATAGCTTGATCATGATTCTAATTGTAAAAAGGGGCAATTTTATTGTAGTACAACCAAAGACGTCGTAAGGAATCAAAATATGATCGCTCTATCTCAAAATTATGGCCAAGTTTTGACACGAAGTTTTGAATGAGATTTGAACACAAATTATGTATAGTTCTAGACTATTTAGTATCACATCTTTTCATTCATCGAATGGTATTTTTCAGAACAAAAAATGAGTTGAAGATGTCGGCCAATTATTTCTCTGATATTTGAATCGTTGTTATGTAGGTACTTGGTATTTTAATATAAATATAGCTTGTGTATTTAAATATGAATACTTGGACTTGCCACAACTCAAAAACACTTGATAAGTTCGTGCCCGACTTCAAAATTTATCCAGAAGCAAACGTAGAAGTGTAACACACTCCTAGAGTTGCTCATGTAGAAGTATCTAATAAGGATCAAAGAAATTTTTCAATTATTTATCATTTATAAACGTTGTATTTTATCCATATTTCAAATTAGTTTCGTAATCAAGATCTGCCTCTCGTTGTTGACATTGCATGCATGAATTAGTCGTATTATGCCTTCCTTACCCACGTTGATCATAGTATATAAGGTCTTGAAGTGACTTAATGTTCTGTAACACTCGATTTCGTTTGTCATCAGAGAAAATCAAACCTTCTGATGTAGGCCTCGAGCAAGACGCCCAATTAGTACGGAACTGGCGGGGCTCCGTAACTGAACGCAATGTGGGTCAACGATCACTCCCCATAATTAAATACCTGCATTTGCACGAGTGTGACAGCTTCTCCGTAAGTTACGTCTTTTACAATGGGATTTTCTGAATATTTAATTTTTTACAGAATATTTTTAATTTTTTTGGCAGATGGGAATATTTTGCATGCCACCTTCATCAGTCATTCCACTTCATAATCATCCCGGGATGACAGTGCTGAGTAAGCTTCTGTATGGTTCGTTAAACGTAAAATCCTACGACTGGATCGACATGCCTGGTCCTTCTGATCCTTCTCAAGGTTTATTTTATTTTATTTTATTGGGTAAATTACAACCACTCCCTGAGGTATGGTCAAATTACGAAACCCCCCTCCTTTTTGGGTAATTACAACCACCCCCTCAACTATTAATGTTCTTACACGTCCACCTTTGCGGTTTTAAATTTAGTGAAATCTTCGAGATTATATAGAATATTATCTCTTTTGTACCCGTTTTGTCCCATTCGAACTCCACATTTTGAAGCAAGATGATCATAATATGTGTTTTTTGGCTTGTATATATCAGATTGTGTGGTGCATCAGAAACTGTATTTTTACACAAGACGAGTACAAACTAGAGCACATTCCCCAAAATCTAAATGATTATGTTGTATTTGACACCATAAGGGTGGAGGTGTAAGAAAAAATCATTGTTGAGGGGTAGATGTAATTATCCAAACAAGAGGGGTTTTTTCGTAAATTGACCATACCTCAGGGGTGGTTGTAATTTACCCTATTTTATTTTATTTTATTTTATTTATTTATTTTTTAATTTTTTGATTAATTTCAGGAGCAAGGCCGGCAAAGATCATAAGAGATTGCGAAATGTTGGCCCCGTGTGGTACGACAGTTCTTTATCCAACTAGTGGAGGTAACATCCATTGTTTCAAGGCCATAACTCCTTGCGCTATATTCGACATTCTTTCTCCACCTTACTCCTCCGAGGATGGGCGGCATTGCACTTATTTTAGAAGGTCGCCAGCCGGAGATCTACCAGGTAAACAAATTAAAAATTAAACACTCGTAACAATTGAAAATAAAACTTTTAAAAATTAAAGGAGGGTAATTTCTGCTGCGTTTTGTTTTTTTAAATAAGGTTCTATTGAGGTGGATGGAGTAACGATATCTGAAGTATCTTGGTTAGAAGAGTTTCAACCTCCGGATAACTTTGTGATAAGGAGAGGACAGTACAAGGGCCGTGTTATTAAAACATAGAAAAAATAATTAATTTTTTTTTTTTGGATTTCGTATTTGTCTGGGTGTTATGGACTTTGTTGTCAGAAGTAATTTCTTCAACTTCAATATATGTCTCGACTGTTATTGACGATGAAATTTTCGTTGTTAGCAGAAGAAATTAGACTTTGAGCTGTACATAATTGAGGTATTATATATTATTATTCATTATTAACTTGACTCTATAAATTAGCTGTGAGACATTCTTGTTACTGAGATCATCGAAGTTTTGGTTTTTTTTTTTTTGGCCGTTTTAATGAATTATATCGTTTATGATGCCTTAAAGGTTAGAAAGTTAAGCAGTATATTATTATCTGGTTATATGTATTGTGCGTGACGGGAGATGCATAATTCGTCATACATAATTGTACGAATCGGATTAAAAAAATAAAATATTATTTATAGATGAGATGAATAACATTGTGAGATTTGCTACGCGCTTATTTAAGATGATTTGTAGAGTCTTGGGCAATATAATTTGTAGCAGCTTCAGTTTCCAGTTATTCTGCAAACAATAGATGCGATCCCTTTTGAATACGAAGAAGAATATATTGAAATATAGATATGATTCCTCAGGTCTTAACGGACAAGCATTCCCGTTAAACATGTATTTCTTTCTTATCAAAATAGCGTTCATACGTGTATGTCATGCTCATTGCGGTATTTTGATACATCGAGTTCGTCTGTTTGTTTGTTTGTTTGTTTTTTTGGTACAAGTGCAAAGAGGCTAGTTGTTAATATCCATGATTCTTTCTAAATATATTAGTATCACTAATATACTTATATGTTTGAATTTGTTGATACCATTTTTAATTATTATGCATTTTAGAACATTTTATCATGTTTTAAATGCATAGTGTAAGGTTAATAATCAAAATGAAATAAATTGGTACTCAAATGAAACATGAGTCAAAGTTCATTGAACTCAATTTGAAGAATTGTGGTTCTGCTTTCTTCTAACTGAAATAGTCGTAGTATCTTGGAGATAATTGTCGTTAACCAAGAGCATTGCACGGAACAAATTTATCTTAATGAGAAAGAATTGACTTCTTACATCGACCACATTTTACGTGTCAAATCTTTGTCGAAATTCTGTCATAATTCCCATTTCGAAATACACAACCAAATAACTGAATGCAAAGAGCAACAAGCTCAGCTGCTAGGCTCTATAGTGTGGTCTCTAATAATATTATATCTGAGTGCCTAAATGTGAAATCAGATATCCTCTGAGTATTATACAACATGTTTGAATATCAAGCCAACAATAAAAATAAAGTGTCAATATAAGCAAAATCCAATTCATTTTCCAAATATTATACTATAGTATAAATATTATGATGTATTTTATATTCCAATAGATAAATGATTATGAATTTCAGGAGTTCTGATCAAAAATATAATAATATATTTTATTTTATTCAAGTAATGTTCTCGGGCCATATTGTTAATTTTTGCTAATATATTTTATTAATGTATCGCCAATTTTACGCTAGCTACAATCTCATTAAACTCTTCTTTACGGAAAGGAAACGAGACAACTTCAAGAGAGTGAACTACTAATCTTATGAAGGCATCAATCGTCTTCCGCCATCATGTTGTCGTCGGCGCCTATGTACCAACAATATCTTTGATTCTGCATCGAGCTATTTGATGGCACTATCTCCTCGGTAATTGTGCTCACTTATAACAAGCGAAGTGTTCGTTCGTTTATATTACCCCTTCAATTCCGACAAGATCATTTATTCGATGCAAATTTTAGCTAAAAGGTGACCTAGGTGGATTATGCCGGCTAACGATTAATTTAAGGGTGTCGCGTGTCATTTTCTTTCATATTCGGGTTTAAATTGCCAAAAAAATAATTAGAAGGTACAAACTGCAAAACAAGTTCAATCAAGGTGAAAAATGGTAAACAAGGTTAATTAGAGGGTGAAACATGCATTGCTAAGGTTCATTAGATTTGTAATTTATTTGAACATAAAAATAGTATTAAAATATCTTAATGATTAATAAAGTAAAAATATTTTAATATTAATAGGTTTCGGTCGTGGAGATTGGGTCCTATTATACCGCATGCCAAACCCCCACTCTTGAAAATTAAAATCCATAGTTGATGGGATGAAGTCTGATTTAGTCAGAATTAGCGGGTTTAGAAACCACGCACACCCTACTAATTCGGAATTATAATATCTCTCACATCACGAGCATACCCCCAACTAGGGGTGTGAACGAGCCGAGCTCGCCTCTTTTGGCTGGCTCGAGCTCGAGCTCGAGTCTATTTTGTCGAGCTCGAGCTCGTCGAGTTCTTCTTTTTTAGGCTCGAGCTCGTGTTAATTTTGTCGAGCTCGAGCTCGAGCTCGAGCACAATCTCTTATTTTATTTATTTATTTTTTTTAAATATTTTTTAATTATTATTTTATTATTAAAAATTATTTAAAAAAAATAAAAAATAAAAACTAAATTGTGATTATATATTTTTTTAATGTTTGTATTTATTTCTATAATATTTTATATTATTATACACTATTTAAATAAAAATAACATATAAAAAATAAAAAAAAATAAAAAAATAATAATAAATCCGGCTCGCGAGCTGATGAACAACTAAAATCCGGCTCGAGCTCGGCTCGTCAAAAAGCTCGAGCTCGAGCTCGAAAACCTCGAGTTTGAGTTCGAGCTTTTTACGAGCCGGCTCGTCGAGCTCACGAGTCGGCTCGGCTCGTTTACCACCCCTACCCCCAACTATTCATATGGTTTTATAAAACCTACACATGGTAAATTACACTATTGATTTACACATAACAACCAACACTCATATGTAAGTGCGCTGAGTGGATAATTATTTAAGTAGATCAACAGCTTAAAATTACATGGTGTATTTCACCGGGTATAGAATCTCATAAGTTGTATTCACATGCTTAATTTGTGCCATCGGAATAACCGTTAGAAGATGACATATCCTATCTCAAAAAAGTAATGAGTGGGAACCAATTTATAGCATGTTTTATACAAATTCATCGAACCATAAATATAGATATACAATAACATCAAATTAGATGAAGTTTTCACATGATGATGTAGGTTACATCAAACATTATTTTAGAGAGAGAGAGGATAATAACAAGCACCAAACACAACAAGTACTAATCCAACAATGACAGATTTCACAACATGCATTTTCAAAATTCCGGCACCGGCTGATCCTCATCAGAAGGCGGAGCCAAAACCCACTCACCATCCTCATCAAGAACCAACCCTTTATTCTTCTCAATCCACCACGAACCCGGAATCAAATACTCGTCCTTCAATATCGCGCTCGACTTGTTCACCAAAGCCAAGCTCCTCTTAACCTTCAATTCAAATTCCCCATCATCCCCATTCCACCCAGCCACCACGTGCAGTATCGCCTGCAAGTTGTGCCAGTCACCCGGACTCTTCGAATCCTTCAGACTCGGCGACTTCCTACCGTCTACCACAAGCTCGATCCCCGTGTTCCTGTACCCCAGAAGCCCGCTCGGGTAGAGCGGGATCAGATCGATTTTATTCCTCACGTGCAGAACTTTGAGATTTGCAAAATCAAGCACTCTGTCATTGAACGCCTTGTTCCCAACCTGAGGGCTGCCGAAGACAATGGCGGAAACCGGGATGTTGTCGACTCCATTCTCGACTAGATCGAAAGCCGACAGTATTGCCAGCGAAGCGCCGAGGCTGTGTCCTGTTAGAGTTATGCTCAAGCTTTCGTCTTTGTATTGTTCTCTGATCTGTTCGATCTTTTTCAGGAGCTGGGTTCTGGCGCTTAATTTGGTGAATGAGGAGTTGGGATCTGTTGACATGTAGATTGTGAGCCACCCGTTCATTACTCTGGGCACGCCTTCGTCGTCGTCGTCGTCGTCGCTGTCGTTGTCGTCTGGGGTTTTCTTGTCCCAGTTCTTGGGACGGAGCAGCTCCTGGGCGGATTCGGGTCGGGCGCCCAGGACGTTGACCCACTCGTAGTTCCGGGTGGTGCCGCGCCAGACGACGTAGATCTCGCGGCGGCCGGAGGAGCGGCTGAGTTCGTCGGAGGTGGTGGCGATGTAGCCGATCCAGTTCGACTCCCTGTCCCAGGACTCGCGGGAGAGGGAGTGGAGGAACAGGGCTTCGCCGGTGCCGACTTTGGCGGTGGCGTAGAGGAAGCAGTGGACCTGGTAGTTGGCGGCGGAGTCGAGCATGACTTTGTCGAAGAAGGACTTCTTGCCGTAGCGGCTGGTGCCGGTGAACTTGGAGTTGACGTCGTTGTTGAAGGCGTCGTAGGTGGCCTGGCAGAAGTCGCCGCAGCGGAGGATGAGGCGGCGGAGGCTGAGGTCTAATGGGTCGAGCAGGGTTTCCCAGTTGTTGCTGCCCAGTAGTTCCGCCCATGTGGGTTCGGATGTTCTCGTTGTCTTTTCAGTTGCTGCCATTGTTGTATGAGTTGCTCCCATTGCAACAAAGAATGAAAAATAAAAATAAAATAAATATTGGTTGTGTGGTTTATGATGTACGGTGGCCTGTTGAAAAGGGTAAGCAGAAGGAGTGGGTGATGATATTATTATGGTGATTTTAAATCAAGTGGGGACTGGGAATACATACAACTACAACTACTACAATTATCAAGAGAGAGAGAGAGAGAGAGAGAGAGAGAGAATAGAGAGATGAGAGAGAGAGAGGTTTTGGCTGCAATCGCTTGCTGACGACAGTTATGATTTTGACTGACAGGACACATAATTATTCTCATTTTATTTATTAAATTTATGAATATTTTCGGTACATGTAAAGTTATGGATAAATTACCGTCGCCATAAGTTAATATTAAATTACGAAAAATTTATCATGTTACCTATTTAGTATAAATCTTCTTCTACAAGTCCATATGTGGGGTATTATAGTGGAATATTCTAAATTAAATGTCTACAGTTTGTACTGTATTCGAGTTCCACATTTTGAAATAAGATGATCATAAGATGTGTCTCTTGCTTGTAAATATCAGATTGTGGTGCATTATAAACTTCATTTTTGCTCAAAACGAACTATAGAACATTCCTAAAAATCTAGAAGATTATGTTAAATTTGACACCATAAAGATGGATGTGTTAGAAAATTAATAGTTGAACGAGCTCGTTGTAATTACCAATTTTTTTTTTTTTTTATTTAACCGCACATAGTCACAATTTACCCTAAAATTATTATTAAAAACCAAAAAAGAAAGATTATTGGATTAACTTGTTAGAGCATCTCCGCTTTTACAATTTTTCACCAAATCCTATTTTTTGTAGTGAAAAAATGTGTTCATCTCTAATCGGTAGTATACTATTTTACCATTCCATCATTTTTGATAGATAAATGTTGTTTTTGGTCTCCAATGGGTTTCACTAAAATCTAGACCAAATGTTAAAATAATAATATTTCACCATTTCACCACTTATAGAAAATGGGATTTGGTTTGGTCTTCCATGGCAACTCATCATATATGCTCCACAATTATAAATCTAATGTTAATCGTAACTTTATTATATTTTATTTCATAAATATTAATTATAGATCCAATGTTAAGTAATAATTTTTTTTTAACTATATAATTTAAAAATTATGTTATTAATTTTCAAAATTATGTTTTCAATTTAAATGTCTTGTCCTGTATTTTATCAATTAAAGTGTGTTTCGTTAATCTAACTATTGTTGCTTATTATAATTTATTAATAGTAATTAGCATATTAGTTAAGTAAAGAAATGAACTAATCAACATTGATAAAAAAAATATACAAATTAATTAAAAATAAGCATCTTTATATTATTAAAATTAATGTTTTTTTAATAATAACACGTCCTGTACTTCATCAATTTAAGCATATTTATATTATATTTTAAAAACTAATTTAGTAATTAACATGAATGTATTTACGATAAATAAGCTAATAAGTTGGTAATCATGTGCAATTAGTTAAAATTGTTATTTTATATGCTACTTAATAAAATGATGTTAATTACACCAAATCCTATTTCCACCTCTATAATTGGTATAAAAAATAGGATTTGGTGGAAAAAATAGAAAACTGATTGACCGGTTGGAGATGAAAATTCTTTCACCAAAAAAATTGGTGGAAAAATAGGATTTGAGTATATGATGATATGGGGATTGATCATGGTGGAGGCTAAAACCAATTTTCCATAATTTTAGGTGTAATAGTGATATAAAAATTTGGAGTGAGAGACTAAAAACACCTAAATTAGATAAAAAAAAAATGGCGATATAGCGACCGGTCGAAGATGCACGACCACCTTGCAATCCTGGGTGCTGTTTACAAATTAATTACAACCACTATTTATGAATATGTAATCACTTTTTATATTGTATTAAAATAAATCAAATGACATCATTAAGGGTGTTCTAACCACCATACTAGAAACCTAGAACAACTTCAATAGGAGTCGCATGGAATTAAATATTCATTTGATTCCTTCTACACTAGCGATACAAATGTTTACTCTATTAGCAGTTAAATCACTATAAACTAATACACTTGAGATTTAAAAAGTTTATTAATTTAGAAGAATGTTAAATTATTGAATTAATAATTTAGGGCGTTGTCACCAAGTCTGTATTTGGAGAAATTATTATTTAAGGTAAGTTATTAACTTATCGAGGTTCTAGAGAAATTATTATTTAAGGTAAGTTATTAGCTTATCGAGGTTCTACGGTATTTGCATCCGTTTCTTTCTAAATGCACATTAATTAGGAAAATTATTGAATGTAACATACTCCATGACGTTTTATAATTTAGAAAATACTTTATAAAAGTTGAATTTTGAAATGAAATTTGGATTATTGGAACTTTATAGATAATTTTAAGGGGTTTTTTTGCATAAATCCCCAACCAAGCATCTTTATTATTCTAGGTTTAGGGGCTATATATCTTTCACCAATAAGCCCATCCCTTTAATATTTATTATAAATAAAGAAAACCTTCATGTATATGCCAATATTACCCCCAACCCTTTATCCTCAATTCTTAATTGTAACCCGAATTTAATCAATTTTGTCCACAAAAATCTAACTTTGACCACAAAAATTCAATTTTGACTTTATTTTTTCAAAAAAAAAATTTTTGCCGCCGGATTCCAGCGTTGACTTTTCGATTTTTTTTCTTTCGGATTTTTTCGCCGGTTTCCGGCGTTGATTTTTTTTTTCCTTTTCTTTTCTTCTTAATTTTTTCGCCGGTTTCCGGCGGTCTCCGGCGTTGACTTTTTTTAGTGTTTTTTTAAGTTTTTTTTTTTTTTTGTGTTTGTTTGTTTTTTTTTTTTTTACGTCCGCCGCTAAACGTTGACCGTAATTGTGCTGTTACTGACAGTAAATTAACGTAATTATACTGTCAATGACAGTTAATTAACGTAATTGTACTGCCGTTGACAATACATTTATGTGATTGTTCTGCTGTTGACAGTAAATTAACGTAATATTATTTTTTTTTTGGTTATTTTTGGTTATTTTTTTTTAATTTGTTGACAAGTCAACGTAATGATATTACTGTCGTTGACAGTAAAATAACTGTAAACACAATAATACTACTGTCAACAACATCAATATTATTATTTTTTTGGGTTTTTTGGTTTGTTTGAGTTATTCACGGAGTAACGTAATAATATTGTTGTCTATTATTGTAATATTACTGTAAACACAATAATATTATTGTGGTTGACGGTAATATTACTGTTGTTATAGTAATATTGCTATCAACCACATCAATATTATTATTTTTTTTGGATTTTTTTGTTTGTTTGAGTTATTCACGGAGTAACATAATAATATTACTGTCAATTATTGTAATATTATTGTGGTTGACGGTAATATAATATTACTGTTGTTATAGTAATATTACTGTCACTCACAGTGATATTAATTCTTTTGGCTTTTTATTATGTTTACATTTGTTGAACGGTCAACATAGTAATATTACTCTATTACACAATAATAATGAGTTTTCTTGTGTTAATATTACTGTGTTAGAGATTAATATAGCAATATTACAGTGTTAAACTGTAGTTTAGTTAATTTTACTGTGGTTAACAGTAATATAGTTAATATTACTGTCTATTATTGTAATATTACTGTGGAGTAACGTAATAATATTACTGTGGTTGACGGTAATATTACTGTTGTTATAGTAATATTGCTGTCAACCACATCAATATTATTATTTTGTTTGGATTTTTTTGTTTGTTTGAGTTATTCACGGAGTAACGTAATAATATTACTGTCTATTATTGTAATATTATTGTGGTTGACGGTAATATTATTACTGTTGTTATAGTAATATTACTGTCACTCACAGTAATATTAATTCTTTTGGCTTTTTATTATGTTTATATTTGTTGAACGGTCAACATAGTAATATTACTCTATTACACAATAATAATGAGTTTTCTTGTGTAAATATTACTGTGCTAGAGATTAATATAGCAATATTACTGTGCTAGAGATTAATATAGCAATATTACTGTGTTAAACTGTAGTTTAGTTAATTTTACTGTGGTTAACAGTAATATAGTTAATATTACTGTGAATCACAGCAATATTGTTGTTTAAACGAAAAAACAAGTTACAGAAAGAAAGAAAAAAAAAATCGAAAAAGTCAACGCCGGAGACCGGCGCAAAATAAAAATAAAAATTGAAAAGTCAACGCCGGAGACTGGCGTTGACCGCCGGTTAACGCCGGGAAAAACAAATTTTGAATTTGTTTTTTTGAAGAAAAAAAGGTTTTGGGTCAAAATTGAATAATTTGTAAAATTTGGGGTCAAATTGAGGTTAAGATATTAAAGTATGAGTGGTTATTTTAGTCCTTCACAAAAATCTGGACCATATGTGGACTTATTAGTAAATGAGTTTTTTGTCTGGATTTCTGTATGAATAAGTACCCATTGATGGACTTATTTGTAATGACCCTAATTTTAAAGGCAATAAGTTCATTTAGTAAAGTTATAACAGAAAACTTATTTTAGTAAACATGACTTTGATATACTATTTAAATTTTTGAGAAAATCGATTTGAAGAAACTATCAAGGCATTTTATTTCAAATCATAACCCACACCTGAAAAAATACAATTTTCATAAGAGTGCATCACATACATAAAGAGGGTGTTAAAAGTACTCATAATCTAACAAAAAAGAAGTAAATCGTATTTAATCCATCCTTATCTAATAATAGACTAGATTCTTAGTACAAAATAAAATTGTGAATGCCACAATTAAACATTAGAATTTTAAAATAGAAGAGTGTAGATGTAATCTTTAATGAAATTCGGATAAACTATGCAAGGCATCAACACACATAATTCTTCGAACTTCGTTCTGGCGACTGCCGCTAGCCTCCTAAACCACTTGAAGAACCTGGAAAGGAGTTTTGCATAAAATGTGTGAGCCCACCACTGACTCAGTGTTCGCTCAACGTGTCACTCACGATCTATGATTTGTGG